TATCTATTTTTACAAGATAATGACTTAATATCCTTTTTACTTTTTAATAAGGTGTCTCTATCATCCCAATACCTGAAATCAGGTCTCTTTCCGGTTAATAGTTCTAGTAGTACAACTCCAAGCGCATATACATCCTTCTCTTCTGTCATCTCATTTGCACATTTCCCCTTGGGATGAATGCAATCCACCCATCCCATTGTGTTCTTCTTAAACGTCAATCTAAAATCAGATACTCTCGCCGTCCAAGTGCCATCAAGAAGAATGTTGCAAGACTTTATTACTCTGTCAACATGTGGCACCGTATTATTAAGAAGATATTGGATTCCCCGAGAAACATCCAAAGCAATTTTGATGCTCATTTTCCACGAACTCAACACACTGTTATACTTATAATGCAAATTATCGTACAACGACCCATTATTCATGTACTCATATACCAAGAAACTCTCACTTCTCTCTTGACAGAGCCCAACTACCCCAACCAAGTGCTCGTGCTGTGGTACACGGGACAAGATGGCCAATTCAGAGTTGAATGGAGTCTTTGTATTTGACAAGGCATCACTCCTTTTGATTGCCACCTCACCACCATCATCCAGTTTGCCTCTGTACACAAAACCGCTGTTTCCAATACCAATCCTGTTGTGAAATGAGAAATTGTTGGTGGCTGTTTGAAGCTCAGACAGGGTGAATAACCGTGGAAAAGTATGGAGAGGGGATGTTCCAAAATTTGACATTGACGATGGAGTCCTACTCCTTATGGCTCTGTCCACTCGCGAACCAAAACTAGGGAGAGGGGATTCTCCCAAATTTGATGCAGTCTCACTCCTTATCATACTGTCCACTCTCCAACTATAACTTAGTGCATCAACTCTCATGTCAATGCTACCATCCATTTGATTTGCCATGTGAAACTATCAACTATGTATGTGCTTTGGAGGAGTGTTGGACCCAAGTATATAGAGAGGGAGGGGGACAACGCGTATTTGTTGAACCAAGAGAAGAGAAGGTGTGAGGAAATTGTATGAAGAAGAAATAATCAGTTTTTAATGGTATAGGCAACTGCATCTGCGTGCCAGCTACCCTTCACCATTCCTAGTGTTCACACCTCTCTCCATTCTAGTACCGTAATCATTGACTAAATGCTTTTGATCGGTATCATTTTTTCTTCAATAGTCATTCTTATTGATTCAATATTGGATGTACTATGGAGCAATCTATACATGTAAGTTTTGTCCTAAGGAATATTTAATTTTACTATATATGATCATTTGTAATGTTTCATATTTGTTTGTATCATGAGTTATTTCTAGAACGGTGTATAGTCAACATTTAAAATATGAAGGATAATAAGTAGGAAATTGCTTAATCTCTGGCCTTGCCTCGCAGCTTCTCTTCTCAAGTTCAAGTAATACGCGTTTGCCCCTCCCTCTCCCTTGGTCTCTTTATATTTGCGTCTAATTCTAAAGCAGCAGTAGCTCCCCAAGCCTCCTCCAAATCAATACATAATTTCACATGACAAATCAAATGGATAACGATGAATTTGAGAGCTTTGAAATGAGATTTGATGCAATAATAAGTTATAGTTGGAGAGTAGATAGTATGATAAGGAGTGAGACTGCGTCAAATTTGGGAGAATCCCCTCTCCCTAGTTTTGATTCCCGCGTTGACAGAGCCATAAGGAGTAGGACTCCATCGTCAATGTCAAATTTTGAATCATCCCCTCTCCATACTATTCCACGATTATTCACCCTGCGTGAGCTTAAAGAAGCCACCAACAATTTCTCAGTTGAGAACAAGATTGGTGTTGGAAGCTTTGGTGATGTCTACAGAGGCAAACTCTTTGATGGTGGTGACGTGGCAATCAAAAGTGATGGTTTCTGGTCAAAGATAGAGGGTCTAAATAACTCTGAATTGGCCAGCTGGTCCCGTCTACCACCCCACAAGCACTTGGTTGGGGTAGTTGGGCTCTGTCAAGAGAATGGTGAGAGGTTCTTGGTGTATGAGTACATGAAGAATTTGTCCTTGTATGATCAATTGCATGACAAGTATAGAAGTGTGTTGAATTCGTGGAAAATGAGGATAAAAATTGCTTTGGATGCTTCCCGGGGAATACAACATGTTCAAAACTATGCGGTTCCACATGCTCACAGAGGAGTAATGAAGTCTTCCAACATTCTTCTTGATGGCAGTTGGACGGTGAAAGTGTCTGATTTTAGAATGACGTTTATGAAGAACACAACGGGATGTGATGAATGCATTGATCCCGAGTACGACGGTGTAAATGCGTTGACAAAAAAGAGAGATGTATATGGGTTTGGAGTTGTACTGCTTGAACTTTTAACCGGAAAGAGACCTATACTCGACTCTCACGGAGAGACCTTATTAAGAATGGTGGGCGGTGGAAAGCCTAATATTTTGCTTCGAGATCTGAAAATGTTTTCGGCTAAAGATTTGATGAAAAATTTGGATTCAAAGGTTGGACCACCGGATGTGAATGAAGCACGTGCGCTGATGTTAATGGCTGATACCGCTATCCCCTGTGTCACTGTGACTCAAGAAACACTAACCATGGATGCTATTGTGGAGAATTTGGAGCAGGCTTTGGCTATGTGCATGATAGCACCGCCACTGGACTAACCAAATCTTATTTGTTTATAAACAAAAATAAAAGCAATTCCGTCTGTGCTATATCTGATATGATGTTTAAGAAAACCAGTAACAGTTCTGTCACATTGCACTGTGTTATTCCACTGCATTTAAGTTGTAAATTTTGACCAATGATTTTTCCACGGCTCTTTCCTGTCCCTGTCACCCAAACTATACTTAACTTGATGGTTTCTCCATATTTATTTATGATATTAGCTCCTTCTAGTTTTAATTTCAACATGATATATAATTTATTTATTTATTTTATATATAGATATATCTTACTTGGTTATTAAAATCAAATCCAAAAAGATCTTTTTCTAGTGAAAACTTGATCTTTGGGCTAGTCTATTTAATAAAGTATAATTAAATAAATATAAACAGATAATATATAACTTTTATTGAAACTTAATATAATCTTACAATGTTGATCAATAAATTTTATATGTTCCCGTGCGTTGCAGAATATTACAGTTATGAATTGTAGTAATTCCTTGTCAATAAAAGTGAAGTTGTATCGTAGCAAGAAGAAAGAAAAAGTATATATTCAAGGGTGATTAAAAGTGAATCAGGATTTGTAAGTGTAAAATAGATTAAGGACATTGAGTTTTTTTTTCTTTGGCCAAAGTATAAAAATAATCTCTTATAATTATTTGAATAATATTAATGATCCAGTTCTCAAACTTAAAAATGTAAAATACATAAAAAAAAATTAAACATACAATTACTATAAAAAAAGACTGAATATACAGTAAATTCAAACGACACTGAGTTATTCTTAAAATTATTATATTGAAAAAATATGATCAATAAAGATAACACATCCAAAGAAGTTCACGGTGAAGAAATAGAAATTTATAATTTGATTTCAATATTTTAACAAAATAAAATGGGTCATCATTTAAAAAATAAAAAGAAAATTAAAGAAATTAGAGATAAAAAATAATTAAAAAAAAACCCTTATTTATTATTTTATATTCACACTTATGAAAGTTCACATAAAAAAAGAAAATAAGTTAATAATAAATTGTATTTTTCACTTTACATTTAATATTATTGATTTATTTTCTTAAAATTATATGTAAATTTTTGTTGACTATTACAAAAATAATTATTGATTAATTGTTCATAATTAATTTATTTTCTATAATATATATAT